TCCCACTCTGTAGGAATATAACTATATCCTAAGGAAATAATTGGAAACCCTGGTGCCATAGTGGTTAAGTGCTACGGCTGCTAACCAAAAGGTCGGTGGGTTGAATCCAACAGGCACTCCTTGGAAGCTCTATGGGACAGTTCTACTCTGTCCTATAGGGTCACTATGAGTCGGAATCGACTTGACAGCAATGGGTTTTTTTTTTTTTTAATTAAATAATTAAAAAGAAAAATCAGACCAATTGATACAAAGATGGATTTAGAATTATTACTATCTAGAAATGACCCCAAGGTCAACATTTCGAAAATGTTTGTAGAATAATATAAAGGTGTTGAAAATGATCATTATAGCAATAAGGAAAATGATGAAATAAGTGAAAAAAGGTAAAATACAGAACACATTTTAATTACAATATATTGTCGTGTGCCATCAAGTCGATTCCTACTCATAGCAACCCTGTAGAACAGAGTAGAACTGCCCGAGAGGATTTCCTAGGCTGTGATCTTTATGGGAAGAGATCACTAGGTCTTTTTTCTTGCAGAATGGCTGGTGGATTTGAATTACCAACCTTTCGGTTAGCAGCCAAGCACTTAACCACTGCACCACCAGGGCTCCTTGCAATGCATACAGATGTGAAGAAATTAAAGTTGTAAATAGAAGGCCCTTTAAGATAAAAAGTTCCTGGTGTGACGCAAATGGTTTGCTCTTGGCTACTGAGAGGTTGGTGGTTCAAACTATCCAGTGGTACCACAGAAGAAAGACCTGGCAATCTGCTTCCTTAAAGATTACAGCCAAGAAAACCCCATGGAGTTCAGTCCTACTCTATAACACGTGGAGTCGCCGTGAGTCAGAATCAACTCAATGATGAGTTTGGTTTTTTGGTTAAGATAAAAGAGTTCTTTGTCATTTTTTGTTATTTTTATGTGTTTCTCCTCCCTGACATTGTTAACTGAATCTAAAATAAGGACTATGGTGCCCAGAGGTGAACATAGCCAGACTATAGGGTATGTTGGAAGGAGTGGAAGGAGGCAAATCATGAGAGATAGATGTGAGTCAGATCACAGATGGTCTTTGCACATCATGACATGGAAGACTTTGGTCTTTAGCTTGAGGATAAGTGTTTTCATTGCCCTCTGATGAGCTTATTTTAAAAGCATACAAACAAATAAAAAACAGTAAAACCTTTGATTCCAGGGATCTATCCGTACGTTACCCATCCACTGATGTAGCCCAAGCTAGATGAAATGTTTAGAATCCAGCAAAGAAAGGCGATCATCAACTAAAACCTCCAGGTCTTTTTTCACATATTCTTCCACCAGGATAGTTTTTTTCTAAATCACAACTATTTAATTAATTTTTCATCTTGATATATAAAAATTTCATATTTATTTTTGTTGATTTTTTAATTAGTTTCGGCTCAGTATTCCAAAACTGTGGGATAAATTTTAGCACTTTCAATGAGTCTGTTATTATCTCAGGTAACCTTTGTGTTATTATTTCAGGTAACCTTTGTAATAATCATAAAAATGTCTAATAGTTATTGAGTGCTTATTATAGACCAAGCACTGTGCTAAATGCTTTACTTCATTTTTTTCTCAGAATAGGCCTCTGAGGTAGGTATTATTTACATCATCGCTGCTAAAAATCATATAGATAATAAGCGTGTCAGAGATAGGACTCAATCCCAGCCAGGTATGTCTGATGCCAAATCCCAAGCTCTTAGCCACTACAACATGCCATCTCGTTTTATCTAAGGCACTGAAGAACCCAGACTAATGACAGATTTCTGGAATATTCTACTAAAAAAAAAAGAAAGAAAGAAAAACCATTGCTGTCGAATCGATTCTGACTCATAGCGACCCTATAGGACAGAGTAGAACTGCCCTCATAGGGTTTCCAAGGAGAGGCTGGTGGATTCGAACTGCCGACCTTTTTGATTAGCAGCCAAGCTCTTAACCACTAGAACCACTGATTCATGCTTATTGGATAATGTGATTCATCTAACTTTTAATTCACTTGGCAAGACTATTATCCAACCAACTTTCACCATTTTATTCACAAGAATATCTTGAAGGACTATTAAATGCTTTGCAGAATTATAAAAAGCACACAAACAAATAAAAAACATAAAAAAAGAATTATAAAAAGTATTATACCTATGACATTCCCTTTATTTACTAACATCTTCGTTTCTCACCAGTTTTATCTTTTTTTCTATGTAAGAGTTCTCCTCACCTACATTATTGTCTCCTTCATGAATTTATCCTCTGTACTACAGCTGGAGTGATTTAAATTCAAGTCCCATTGTGAGCTGTGTTTTAAATACTTCAGAGGCCTCCCATTTTCTGTAGAGGGTGTTCTGAACTTCAGTCCCAGGGCCCTCAAGGACTTTAAGAAATTTATTATTCTATGTCAAATTATATACAATATGTTCTGTATATGTGCAGTTTGCCCAGAAAAGTATCCATAGGTTTGTATTAGATTATCAAAATGAATTATGATTTTAATGCCTATGAATCACTTATAAAGATGAAGTTTCCTAAATATTTACACAAGACTCTTTATGACCTAATTCCTAACCCCCTAAGCCTCATCTCTTTCCGTTTATCACCCTCCATATCCACCACACTCACACACACAGCAATGACACACTTCCTGTGGTTTCTCAAAATGCCATGTGTTTGCTCAGCTCCTTCCCCTCATGAGATCCTATTCAGCCTCAAACCTCAGCTCCAATGTCACCTCAATATTCCCTGACCTTTCCAAGCAGCATTAAGTGCTGCTTCCTATGAGCTTTTGTAGTGCCCTGCTCATACCATTCTTAAACCATTTATCAAATTACTCTAATGATTTGATTGTGCCTCTGTCCACCCCCTCATAGGGTGGCTATGACCTGATAAAATGGTGAGTCAAGCCCTCCCACCACCCTGGCCCAGCTTTAACTAACAGGGAAGTCATTTTTCTCTGGGACCTAGTAGTCCCTCAGTAAATATTTGAACCAGTGATTAAACAAATGAATCAAGCAACACTATTACAAAATAATGATTGTTTAGTATGACTTCTTCACTTCTAGCTGCTCGTAAACTTTGTCTTTCTGAGCTACAACAATGGATAATTCAACATCTATTTAATAAAAGGTCAGTGTAAACCTGGCTCTGTTTTAGGAACTGTGGAGGTCCCATTAAAGTTCATGTCATGGTTTCTTCCTTCTAGAAGTTTACAGTCTTGTGAGAGGCAAAGACTTAAACATGCAAATTCCAACATAAGACTTACTCAATGGTACTGTAATTGTTTGCTTACCCTCTTCTAAGGAGGCAAAATAATACAGTGCTCAGAGTGTCAACTTTGAACTCATATATACCTGAGTACCAATCTTAGTCTTTCTGCATACCAGCTGTGAGGTACTGGGCAAGTTGTATAAACTCTTTTGAGCCTTGGTTCCATCAACTACAAAATGAAGATAATGCTTACTTTATAGGTTTCCACAGTAATATATGTAAAGCACATAGTAAGTATACAACCCGTAACGGTGATGAAGGTGATGTTTGATGATGATGACGACGATGATGATGATGATACTAGCATAATGAACTGTAATTCCCTGAGGACAAGTACCATGTTTAATTTATCTTTGAATCCTCAGCACCTACTATAGTGCCTGACACAGTAGATATTAAACAAGTGTTCGTTAAATTAATGATTACTTATCAACCCCAAAATATTAAAAGATACAAGAGAAGACAGAAAAGAAAGAGACTATCATGGACTCGAATTATCAAGGAAAACCTCATGGAGGAAGAAAGTATACAAAGGGTGGACTTTTTAATAGTTGAAGAAGAGGACACAGGTGACAGAAGGCAAAAATAAACAAGCATTACACTGAAGTGTGTAGCCCGTAGTAGTCTGTGCCTGGGCTGGGGAGGAGCAAATGTGCTTTGTTTGGTAGGAAATGGAAGCCATGAGGGTGTAACATACTTGCACACATACATACAGACATGCAGACAAATACTTGGCATTACCAAAACTTTACTATTTAGCACCATGCTAGAGATTAATAACCAAGACAATAATTCTAAACTTGTTGTTTTTGGAAGCTACACATTATATCCAAACAATATAGGAAAACGTTTCATTTAGACAAACTAAGTTATGGTGGGAAAATATGTGCTTCAGAGGGAAACAAATCTAGGTTTGAATTTTTAGTTTTACCGTTTAGCTTCAGCCTATTCTCTTGAGCAAGTCACTTACCTCTTTAAGCTTCAGTTCTGTCTTCTGGAAAATGGAAATAACAACGCCTGTCCCACAAGGCTGATGTGGGGCTTGAAGGAGATAATTTATGTAAGGCATCTCTGCAGCACCTGGTACATAGCAGGTGTTCAATATGCATGAGAGTGCTGTTATTTTTAATATATGAATTAATACGTTTATGTGTTTATGCTAAGTCAAAAGTGTACATTTTGGTTGTGTGTATTTTTGGACATGTAAACTTGAGCTTTCTCTATCTGAGACCAACTGGGATTGTTGAAATTGAAATAATCCAGAAAAGGACAATGTGTAACGTAATACCATTAGGCTGTCTCTCTTCAAAATGAAAAAATATAAAAAGTTTGGAGTATGGGTGATTGTATGTGTTGAATGCTCAAATAGAAAGTTAACTCCTTTCTTTATTAACCATCTACTGTACAAACTGTCATGCAAATACTGCCTTATGCTTTATGCAAGACATTTGAAAATCCCTATGACTTTGTTCTTCTGCTTGGATTTTTTTCTGTAGTAAAATACATAATTGAATTAGTTTCAAGTGTTTGTAAACCAGCCAAATATTTCCTTTTAAATACTTGAGCTCTATGTTGAAATGCAGAGTAATGTTTCTTAGCATATTACTTTTTTTTTCCCCAGTAATAGACGTCATCCCTTAATTCTTTAATAGACTTTCAGTTCCACATGTGCTACAGTATCTCCTATGCTCACAGTAAATGAAAGTTTTTCATCTCATGCAGGTTCTTCCAGGGGACCCAGCCCCTTAACCATGGGAGCCCAGGACACCCTCCCTGTTGCAGCAGCATTTACAGAAACCGTCAATGCCTACTTCAAAGGAGCAGATCCAAGCAAGTAAGCCTGGGGTTGATCCACATATCCCCCAAGCTCTATTCTGTCCAGTGGGGGACACACTAAGCATTATTGTATCATTCCTTATCTTAAAACCAAAAAGATCCAGATAACAGTAACAGGTGGCACACCTAGAATAGAGGAGAAAATTTAATTAGGAAGGTTAATTCAGTGATTTAAAAAAAAAAGTCCCCAAAAGATCCAATAAGCGAGGATGGCAAGACTTCGTCTCACATACTTTGGACATGTTATCAGGAGGGACCAGCCCCTGGAGCAGGACATCATGCTTGGTAAAGTGCAGGGTCAGCAAAAAAGAGGAAGACCTTCAATGAGGTGGATTGACACAGTGGCTGCAACAATGGGCCCAAGCATGACATCAATTGTGAGGATGGCACAGGACCGGGCAGTGTTTCGTTCTGTTGTACATAGGGTCGCTATGAGTCAAAACCGATTCTATGGCACCTAACAATAGCATCTTGTTGTTAGCTGCCGTTGAGCCGCCCCCATACTCATAGTGACCCGACGCACAACTGGACAAAACGCTGCCTGGTCCTGCATCATCCCCATGATTTGTTGCAGATCGGACCATTGTGATCCATATGGTTTTCATTGGGTAATATTCAGAAGTAGATCACCAGGCCTTTGTTCCTAGTATGTCTTAGTCTGGAAGCTCCACTGAAACCTGTTCAGCATCACAGCAACACACAAGCCTCCACATTAAGGGTGGTGGCTGCACATGAGGTGCATTGGCTGGGAATCAAAACCGGGTCTCCCACGTGGAAGGTGAGAGTTCTACCACTGAACCACGGAATGCCCTCTAGCAATCTAATATCTTACTATTCAGAAATCTGATTCAGCTTTTGGCTGCAAGTAGCAGAAAACCCTAACACAATTCTGTCAACAATAAGAAAGTTTTTATCTCACAAAAATAGAAGTCCAGATCATGCCTTTTGTTATCTTAGTCTTTCCTGGATGGGAATCACCCAAATATAAATTGGAACAATGGTGTGGAATGTGAACCTGGAAGAAAAAACACCTTCCAAAAACACTCAGGTTGGCAAGAGATCGAGTCATATGTTACCCTGACTAAGTAAGGAAAAAACTGGCCACAAACCATTATAATCACAGCCAAGTAAAAATTCTAGAGCCAAATGCACCGTCCTCTTTCTGCAGGAGCCTGATTTCACTGATATATCAGTTTATATAGGCAATGCATTCAGTGGCAGTCATTGAATGCATTTGCTTTTTGGACTTAATCTGAATACATATGTGATATAATTAAATACTTTATTTTTCTATAAGGAGTTCCGTGAATAGGGTTGTGGAAGTCTACGGATTCCCTGAAATTCTGTTGCATAGCTTATGTGGGGGGGGGGGGTGGATGTGCATTTTTCCATAGGCAGTCTATAGCATTCATCAGTTTCACAAAGGGTTCATGATTCAAAAAAGATTGAGAGTGATTACTTGTCTAAACTGAAAACTAAACAGCTAAGTCAAACTAGTTCTCAAATACGTCATTAATGTAATTCCGAGTCTGAATTTTATTGATAAACAAAGGGAAAACTTAGATGAGGGAAGAACTGCTCTCTCTTTTTTTTACTTACAAGGACTAGGGCTTGGAAATCCTTAGTATCTATGGCAATTAGAATTAGAGAAAAAATTAAATTTGCATACACAACACTAGACTATTTTATTAAAATGTTTGGAACAGTGATAATTAAGTACAATTAGAACTTGGATCTTCACATATATTTTAAGTGGGACTCTGTATGACTAGCCATGAATCCTCTTTACACTTCAGGAACAATAGGTTTTTCTAAAGACTAACAATATTATGCTAGAAAACTAGTGATTCCACCTTTAAGTAGCCTATGCAGCCACTGGAATCTACCAACATCCCTAAATGCCATGTCTCTTTAAACAACATCTAGGTTTTGTTCTAGACCTCAAATACTGTAGAGAAATAAACACTGTGGATTCTGGTTTCCCCCAGTGTCCTTTCCCCTTTATCTTCAAGGAATGAAATTTTGCCATATCCACATGTAAATAGAAGTTAAAAGCTACCTCATAAAGAGCATGCATTTGAGCTTTTAGAGCAAGTAAACACCATGAGCTTAGATTCTATATATCCTTCATACTGTAGAATCTTATTTAAACAAAGAATTTGCATAATTTTCTGTCATACCAGTTTAAGGGCTAACTATTACTGAATGACCTATACCTTAGAAAGTTCAGGCTAGCCTGAATTTAGAAAAGTGGGCGGAAACACACTTTAAAAAAATAAGAGTAGTCACGTGTGTAGAGAGTTGTATGCACCTGAGTGAAAACCCCTGGGAATGACACAAGAATTAATTCTTTTTTGCCAGCTTACTAATTGGCTTTCATTCATTCATTCACTGATTTATTCAGAGAGACCTAATTGGTCTCTGTACTTCCACTTTGGTCCCCCTAGAGTCTACTCTCAACGTTATCATGTCACTCCTTTGCACACAACAGTTCTACCTTGTTCAAAGTAAAAACCAAAGGCTTTATAATGGCCTTTAACGCCCTACATGATCTGTCCTTCGGCACTCCCCAACCCCTACCCCAGTTACCAACTCTCTGATCGTATCTCCATCACTCTCTTCCTTATCTCTGATCTTGTCTCCCTCACACACCTCCTTATCCACGTCACTCTAGGTACACTGTCCTTGCCTGTTTCTCTTTTCTCACCCAACCCTCAGGGTCTTTTCACCTTCTGCTCCTTCTGCCTTGATGAAATCTCTATCCAGATGTCTGAGTGACTTGTCCCCTCACTTCCTTCATGGTACTTCAGAAAATTTATTAAAGACACCTTCCCTGTCCACCTTATATAAAACTGCAACACTCCTCTCCACCCCGTCAACACTTTGTCCTTACCTCATTTTTCTCTTTCCCCGTAGCCCTCTCTACTGAACATATGGTGTATTTATTCAGTTGTGTGTCTACCCCAGAAGAATGTAAGCTCTATGAGAGCTGGGACTTGTCTGTTTTGTTCACTCCTGTAACCTCAGCACCTGAAACAGCACCTGGCATGGAGTACTGAGTGCATATTTGCTGAATGAGTTGAGTTGAATTACTCACCTAATATTTATGGAATGTCTACAATGTGCTTGTACTTGTGGTAGACGGGATACATAGGTGATGAAGACCGCTGATATGAAAAGTAAGACTTGTAAATATAATGTAAAACCAACCATACGAGAGGTGTAGATATGGTTCAAAGGGAGTTGAGAAACCCTTACTAATAATTTTTTAAATCCTAAAGAAGGAGTGGAATGGCCTGTCAGTCACCTGTGGGCCTGCCACTATGCAAGCAAGGTTCTTCATCCTGTTTGGGCTCCCCCAGCCTACTAGGGCAGAAGTGTAGGGAGGTCTGCGCCAATGAGCCTGCTACCCGTGACCTTGATATTCCAATGATGTAGCAGTTGAGCCTGATTAGTGAACCATCCATACATTGGAAAAAGAAATATACCACTTTAATTATTGTATATTATGATATATAATTCATTCATTTATCATTATGCTTTTTACCTGAGTATTCAGAACCCTGTAACAGGTATTCTGACATTTCAGTCTTTCTCAGGCATTCATAGACAGAGAACACCTTGACTTTACTATACATTTCCCATTATCAGCTGCTTTAAACAACCCTCGTCCCAAGAGATAAAGGTCAGGGATTATTTCTCAGCTATATCCTATTTTTCTCTTCTCATCATACTTGCAATTATTTATTGTATGTCTCCCTGCTTAAACTAGAAGTCTGGGCAAGGACCGTGTTTGTCCTATTTCTCACTACCATTCAATGCCTAGATTGGTGCCTGATACATTGTATAAGCACCCGATATACTTGCTAAATTTATGAATTTATGTTAAAAACATTGCATTCCTACTCTGTACGGGTTCTGTATTATATGTACTTTTGCCTTCCAAGAACCTAAGACACAGTCCTTGCACTCACAAGAGTAGATAAAATATGTGCAAGAAACTACAAAACAATTTTTCAACAAAGATCTGTACATGTTTCTATGGGAAAGTAGAGAAAGGAAAAGCTAAGGAAGGCTGGATAGAGAAGATATTAAGGAATACTTCAGAAGAGCCTTCCTTTGAACTAAGTCTTGAAATAGGAAAAGGATTGTGCTTAGTAGATAAGCCAATGAAAGGGGATTACAAATAAAGGAAGTGGCATGAGTACAGAGGTACACCTGAAGAGGGCAGTGGGCTTGGTTATTGAGGCAGTACACAGAAATCACATTTTACGTGAGGGGTGCATTCCTAATGACCTCGCATAATTAAATTCACATATTCCTTGACCAAAAATGGCCAGGACTTCTGTTGTCCTGCTAACAAACATGGTGCTGCCTGTGGCAATAGGGAGAACCCAGTTTATAAATCACTTGGTGAGCTGACTTTGAAATCTTGCCATTCCTGACAAATTTTTCATTTGTGGGGATTCACATAATTTCAAATTCTATTCCTAAAGTAAAAGCTGATTAATATTTACATATCACACTATTTTAAATTTATATCATTCAAACTCACATAAAATGTATCTACATTACATAGTTGTAGAAACAGTCATTACGGTTGAGTAAAGATTTCCCTCCAGTGAGTATCGATGGAAAATATTTATTTTTACATAACAGTTTCATCTCAGCTTAGATACTGGATGGATTAATAAATCAGCAGAGGTCTGACAGTTCAGTTGCAGTACAGGAATATAATGCCGTGGAGGAGCCTTTGTGTTTCTCATCGTGGACTGTAGGGACTGTGCATCGGCCCTTCTCCCACCTTCCAGATGACTTTAAGCTCTGAAGTTGAGGCTGTTTTGCTCATTTTTAAATTGCCTTCCCACTCACAGAAAAAAAACAGTTGCGAGCCAATATTTTTTTTTTTTTTTTTTACTTAATAAATGCCACCTCCTCCCTTGCCAACTTGCTTACAAAAGTGAAACTTTATCCCTCACCAAGACAACATGTAGATCT